AACTATAATACACACATATGTGTATGTTTTATATATATATATATATATATATATGTATATATGTATATTACTGTTCTTAACGATGTTCGTTCAGTGGAAAGTTCTCTTTTGTTTAGCTTGCACAATTGGCTTTAACGTGACTTATCTTATTTAAAGAGATCATTGAAAGTCTATTACAATATTATTGCGTTGCATCCAATAGCTTTCTGCTTTTAAAACTGTCAGAACAGAAATTTTATCAAAAAAAAAAATATATATATATATATATGTATATATATATATACGTATATAAAAGATTCGATAGTAGCTTTTATCGTTTTCAAAATTTGATTTTATATTTTTTACACATCATCATTATCATCTTATCATCATCATCATCATCATCATCATTATCATCTTCATCATCATCATCATCATCATCATTATATTATCTTGCCTCAAATCATCTTATCGAGTAGATCCATATGTCTGTGTATATTATATAACTTGGATCAAAAGATTTTAGATGATTTTAAAAATCATTTACTCTTTTCCGAAACCTTTTACGGCTATTTTTCTGTTTTATGTTTTTTATTTTTAATTTATTTATTTTTTGTTTTTTTTTTGTTTTACCAGGTTACAAAACTACAAGCCTTATTACAAAATTAATGATTTTTAAAATCACCTAGAAAGTTTTGGGCCATCCTGTATGTGTGTGCGTATATATATATATTCGAAAGAAAGTATATTTTGGTAGAAATTCGCATGAGCACAAAACAGAATTCTCCACTCGTATCGGATAATAAAAATTAATCCTTTTATTTAACATATATACACAGTCGTTCCTTAGAAAAAGAGTATTTTATCTTTTTGAACGTACTTTTACTCTTTTAATTATACCTGACTTGATCCATTTGATTGTAATAAACAAGATAACGATAATAAATATTTGAGAGCGAGTGTCAAAAAAAAAAAAAATGAAAACATTTTTTAATCAGCTTATTTTACGAGGTTTAATATTTCGACATAAATTCAGTATCTTTTTACCGTGGCATAGAGTTTTCCTATTATCTTTTCTTCCATTCTTTTATATACAGAAAAAAAAATATGATTGAAAAAATAACAAAAGAAGAAAAAAAAAGAAAGAATGGGAGAAAAGGAAAAAGTGCTGTTTAACATTTGGAGAGTTTTTTTTTTTCTTTTTTCCTTTTTTACGAGCTACAGTTATATAAAGCTACATTTGCATTTAAACAAATCCAATTAAATTTCAAATAAATACATTTCTGTCCAAATGAAAAATGACGCCTCTGTTGTCCGCTATTGAGTGCTGCACTGAGATGATTTTTCTTATTTTATATATATATATATATATATATATATATATATATATCAATAAACTTGCAATTGATTTAGTCGATTCATTTTATTTGCGTTAAAAATAATCGAGCAAGCAATCAAGCAGCCTGAATGTTTTCAAGCAGGCACTCGAGATTCGATAACGATGATAGAGAAGCATCAAAAGTATTATTCGTTCGATCGAATAGGTTCGAAAAAATTTTATTAAATTAAAAAAAAAAAAAAAAAAAAGAACAGAAAAGAAAAGAGAAATTAAAATTAAAATTAAAAAAGATACGAGCACGTTATTGTAAATTCTAAACTTACAAAACTGGATACGGATCTTGTCAAAATTCTACTTCTATGTTGTTTCCATTGACTTTTTTCAAATAACAAAAATATTGTATTAAAAGTAGCCACAGATATGGTGAATATAAACCTGTGCCACGGTATTTTTTATAAAAAAAATATATATATATATGAATAAAAAAAAAAAAAATAGAAAACAAAAATTACAGATAACAATTGAAAAGAAAAATATTTCACCGCGACTCTTCTGTCCTTTCTTTCATTCTTACATCTCTCTCTCTCTCTCTCTCTCTCTCTTTCTCCTTCTTCTCCTCCTCCTCTCTCTTTTCCACACACGCATACACGCACAGGCTCAATCTTCTCTTTTCACTTCTATTTCTATCATCCTTTCGTCCTTTTCTCTTTTTCTCCAACGTTACGTTTCCTCGTTGGTTTCCAAAAATAAAAGTACATTCTGTTGCACTTTTCTTGGATTCGTGGAAGTACCGATGAGTGGATCGTGACGAAGGAGATAAAAGTAGAAAAAGGAATGAACGAGCGAGAGAGAAAGAAAGAGAGCGAGAGAAAAAAAGAAAAAGCAAATTTTAAAGGAAAAAAAAAAAAAAAAAGAAAATGAGAGAAAGAGAGAGCGAAAGATAGATTAGCAAAAGGAAATAAAAAAGTAGAAGATAATAAAGTCGTAAATAAGAAAGAAAGGAAGGAGGGGTGGGATGTGTAAAGGTAAATGGGCAGAGGGTTTTTGAGATAGTTTTTGGTCAATTACGTTGAGGACGGTGGCGCGCTAATGTCGCTGTTTTGTGTGTCTTTTGTTTTGGAAGCGCCAATGCGACGGCAATGGCCCCACCCACCCTGGTGGCCAGGCGGGCAAGCGTTCCACACAACAAGTGAACCAGCAACAGCAATAGCAGAATCATAATCTTCATCATCATCATCATCATCATCATCATCATCAGCGACGTCGAGGTGAAGCTAGCAGCAATCGTCGACAAGCTACGTTCCTACACGGTCAGCGATAGGCTTCTTCGCCACGCAGTGAAAATTGCAGTGTCGTTTGGTGTACGGTGACAACGAGAGATAGAGACAAGGATAGAGATAAAAATTGCAATGAGAAGAAGGAAAGAAAGATAGAATGAACGAACGAACGAACGAATGAATGAATGAATAAATAAATAAATAAATAAATAAATAAATAAAAGGGAGAGAAAGAGAGCAAGAAAGAAAGGAAGAAAGAAACACACTTGCAAATCTTTCAAATGCGTTGTCAGCAGCTGCGTTATCTATATATAAACGTTTTTTTATTATTTATAGGAGAGAGAGAGAGAGAGAGAGAGAGAGAGAGAGAGAGAGAGAGAGAGAGAGAGAGAGAGAGAGAGAGAGAGAGAGAGAGAGAACGTCATATGTGTGTATGTATGTATGTATATATGTTATGTGCGTATGTATATATATACGTATGTATATATGTACGTATGTATGTATGTACGTATGTATGTATGAATATATGGATGTATGAAAGACAGTAAAGATAGCTAGAGAGAAAGAAATATATAACAAGTACCGATGCTTAAAGCGAATCAACAAGCGAGAGATCTCCCATGTGCTTTTATGTAAAGCGAAGTGAGAGAGAAATACTGAACAATGTCCAAGTGCGTTGTGTTGATGGTGGTGGTGGTGGTGGTGGTGGTGGAAGTCGATTAGCTTTTTTAAAAGAAATAAAAAAAAATCCGATGAAAGGCGAATGTGTGCGCGTGTGTGTATGTATGTATGTATGTATGTATGTATGTATGTATGTATGTATATATGTGTGTGTGTGTATGGTGTATACACACGCATACATGCTATATTCGTAGTGATTTTCTAACGTTCGGGCCGATCGTTAAAGCGTACGATATGCTATTATATTAATACATAGGTAAGGTCCCGAATATGAGAATTAGAACGAAAAATATTAGCTCGAGACTGAAAATATTTAAAGGGATGGTAAACGTATGTGAAAGATCAAAATAGGTTGGAGTGCAATCGTGCAATTTCTGGCACATATCCTGAAGAGAAGTATTTCATATAAAAAAGAATGAAAAAAAAAAATAAAAGAAAGGCTGGAAGAGAAAAAAGAAGAAGAACAAGAAGAAGAGAAATTGGTTATTCGATGATAAAATAATTTTCAAAGAGAAATGCGATATGTGTCGAGTATAAATAAAAGTGTTATAGTATGCTTGGACGATATTGGCTATGAGAGGAAAGAAAAGAAAAAAAAAAAAACAAAAAAACAAAACGTACATACATCACATGAGATTCGATAAAACGAAAATACAAAATTTCGTTTTACATTTATAAACAGTAAAGACGGGATAGTATAATGTTTTTGACGAGTGTAACGTTTTAACGAACGAATGAAACATCGTTTGCATGTTTACAAAGCACGATTCTCTTGACATGATCTTTAACGAGGTAGCTTTGACTCTGACTTTGTCGAATCGCGACGTGTTTATCCAACTAGGGCGCTTTGTATGATCACAGATAAATCAGAGTTAGTATGTAGAGAAGTATCGTTGCGATTTAGAGATTTTTCATTTGCTTGCGGAAGGACCATATTAAATAAATCAAATAACGTGAAACGACCTTAGATTTTTTTTCTTTTTTTTTTTTCCTTATTCTTTTTTCTTTTTTTTTCTTTTTTTTTTTTTCTCGTTATTTGTCGGAAACTTCAAAGCCAGAGATCGTTGTCTACCGATGAACGAGTTCTATCGATACACGGTGTTTACGCGATGATGATGTGTGCGTTTTTATGGGAGACAAAAAAGGACAAAAGAAAAAAAAAAGGAGAAAAAAAATTACAGTGAAATAGAGAGAATAGGAAAAAGTTGTAAAATATGTAGATTAATTAATAATAACCTATCGAATTGTAATATGTACATATAGATAAAAGAGAGTCCATCGTTGACCGAAACGATATTTCGAACTACGATTAATGTATGAGAGCGAGTAAAAAGTAAAACAAAATGAAAAAAAAAAAAAAAAAAAAAAAAAAAAAAAAGAAAAAAAAACAGAAGAAGGAAAAAAATATGCGTATCCTCACTCTGGTCTTCGCGAGCCGTAATAAATAAGGAATAATTATGATGATGGGACATCGTAAAACTTTATTGATATGGTAGAAGAATAATCAGGAGTTTGATTGACATCGTCCTTTGAAAATTATATATATTTATATAAATATATATACATACATATATATATATATATATATATATATATATATATATATACATATATAAGTCCCGAGGGTTCTGCTAGATGTTGATGAAACTCCAGTGTCTCAAGAAAACCATAGTAAAAGTCGGTAAAAAAAAAAAACGTCATTGAATAATAGAGCAACGTTGCGATATATTCTCGCTATGGAAAAAAAAAACGAAAAAAAAAAACAAGAAAAAGAAAAGAAAAAAAAGAATGCTCTAGTTATATTAAACAATCATACAGAACGTAGTACAACGGTCTTAAGGAAGAGTGAAAAAGTACATATAGATGTAAGAGACAATTCACTCGGGTTGTGGTAGACCTTAAGGGAGACATAATCAGTATATTTGGTGTAACGCAAACACATTCGGTCGAACGTACTGTATAATTTTTTTTTTCTTTTTTTCTTTTTTTTTTTCGCATACCTCTTTATTAATGTTCTTTTTTCCCCTCCTATTAATTTTATTCTCTTCTCTTCTTTTCTCATTTCTAACAAAATTTGAGCGTTCACGTTGTATCTATCTTATTTTTGTTCATTGCTCTCTCTCCTTTATAAAATATAAACGTAAATAATTCTAGAAAAAGACGAAGGCATATCTTGGACTAACGATTTTGTTGTTCAATCAATAAACGATTATTAATTTAAATAAATAAAACAAAAAAATAAAAAGAAACGAAAAAAAAAGGAAAAAAACCACAAGAAAAAAGAGAACAAAAGAGACAAAAGAAAAAAAAATCTCTCTTTGTAAAATGCGTTGCGCGTCTTTAAACGATGAGTGGGAGTGGGAGGGGGAGAAGGAGGAGGCAATAAAAAGCGACGCGATGAAAACTGTGATTTGTCTCTGAAATGACCGCCGGTGAAGAAAATAATAATAATAATAATAATAATAATAATAATAATAATAATAATAATAATAACAATAACAATAACAACAAGAAAAAAAAAGTATCAAGAAAAAGCAGGCCCTTGTCTCTTAGATACGCGTGTCGTACATGTCTCTTCGTGTGTATTAACGTGTTTGCACCAAGATGTGTATGCATGTGGTGTGCATTTTGTGTGTGTGTGTGTGTGATTGTGTGTGGTTCGTGCGTGGTTCGTGCGCCTGCGCGCACGCGCGCTTGTAACTCGCATGTATATGCGATATTTCGTATGTTGGTTGTATATGCAGCCAGAAAAAATGGTATGATTTTGATTAGAGAAATAAGATGACGATTCTTATGGTGCGAACACGACTCTCTCTGCTGTCTGTCGTTATTGATAGAATTTTTAAGTTGTATACGTCGATTATAATTAATACCGATGGTTTATATGATATGATATATAAATGATTCGAACGCGTTTCTTGGGAATGATAACTATTGTGTAGATTCAGTCGGTATTTTGCAAAGTATAAAAAATAAACGTAATAAAGAAAATAAAAAAAAGAAAACGAATCGATGACTTGTGGGTTGAAAATAAAATAAAATTAAAAAATATAAAATAACATAAAATAAAGTGAAATGAAATAAAAATAAAAGAGATAGAAATGGATAAAAGATGCAATGAAATAATAATAATATTAATAATAATAATAATAATAATAATAATAATAATAATAATAATAATAATAATAATAATAATAATAATATGACAATATGAAAAATAAATCGCAACAACAAGAACAACGTAGACGTTTATGAGAGTTTTAATTTCTTCTTCATTCTTTTCTTATACCCAATAGAGATAGATACACGTATTACCATTACAATGTATTTAATTAATAAACGTGACTAACATATAAATTCTTATACGTAAACACGCATGGTACCTATTCATTTTTGTTCGCAGAATACCGACTCGATGCGCAATAGAAAATTATCCATAAAAAATAATTGATATATATATATATATATATATATATATATATATTTATATTCATATTCATTTTATATATACTTAACGTCTATTATCGACAAGTTCCTCTAATATTTTCGATATGATCGAAGCACAAGAGTTAATAAAATTTAAACTTCGGTAAATATATTAATCGGGATTAAATGAAATCAATGATTAAATGCAATAGCGACACGCAGCAATATTTTGCTTAATAACTAACTCAATCTCGTTTGATTAACCATGTTAAAGAAAAAAAATCACGAGGGATGGAAGGTCTCTCTCTCTCTCTTCGCGAAGGAATTCGAATTATTCCTCGGTCCCAACGAAGAAAAAAAAGAAAAAAAGAAAAAAGGGAAAGAAAAGAAAGACAGATGGAAAAAAAGAAAATAAGGAAAGAAAAAAAGAGATCTCTAAGAAACGAACGTGAAATCTCTTTGTAATAAAATCACGTTCTCTTTCATAGCCTATTTATCCTTCCCACATCCGTACTACGCGTCTCGAATCAATTACAACATAACTTGTATCATCGAGACGTCAGGTAGAAATGAAAAAAAAAAAATGGAAGAAGAAAAAAAAACGTGATATAAAAAAAATTTTATATATATATGTATGTATGTATGTACGTATGTATATATATATATATACATATACATATACACACATATATATATATATATAGTATCGACACGTGTTTTTCTATGTATTTTTTTCATAGGTACTATTATTACTACTATTATTACTATTACCGTACTATTTACTATTACTACGACTATTACTACCACTACTACTTGCTACTGCTGCTACTACAGTTAATTACCGCTAATATGTTGTCTAACCGTATAGTCGAATCGTTCGAAACACAATCTACTGTAAACTGAATGAAAATGGATTTCATCGGTACGCCGAGAACGAACCGACGGATTCTGGGCAGGATTTCATTAATTAATCAATCTATAATTTAATAACTTTTTTTTTTTTTTAATTCGGTAAAAAGTATTGAATTAGATGGCTTTACAGTCGTATTAGAATCAAATTTAATATAATTACAGTACTTTGGTATTTCATTAAAATGTTCTTTGACGATATTCATTTTTACACATCATCATCAGTTCAATACCTTCCAATTGTATTTGTTCCTTCCCTGATTTATCGTCTGTAAATTTAAAAAGTTAATATATGTACACGATAAAATTTATCTTGATACATATCGCGAATCACTTGTAAATCTTA